TATATACAAACATATTGTTACGTCTCCGTTCGTTAATTAATTTTTCATAAAAATTCTTCCCGAAGAATTTTACCGATAGAAATCCTTTCTTAAGTAAAACTGGTTTATTCTTTCTGAATATAACTTTGCGATACACTTAATTTCAACGGTCGCGCTATAACAAACGCTATAATTCTCAACGAACGTCTCACGTGCTCGACTCAACAATACTCAGTTCAATTACACATTCCATTACGTTGCTCCTTGGCCGGTCTTATATATGCAAGACTACCCCAATCTAGTAGTCTCCCGACATTTCCTGAAGGTTCGAGAAGGAAGTGGCGTGATACAAGCGTCACGTGACCTGCGTTGTCGTAACAATATGGATGGAAATACTCATAAAAAACAAAAGCTTTCTATCAATATGTATGTACACTAACTATTAGACTAAAAAACAATTTCAAATACGTATTTGCAAAATCTGCAGAGAAAGCTTACCTACAGGGTCCTGGCAGTGGGTATTCCAACAAACACAACTCGGTGGTCCAGCAAAGAATCTCTCAGACCCTCGAAAGTGCCTTCTAAGAGTTCATCAGCTCATCTTGGAGCTGATACTCCTCTCCTTTCAATTGTCATAGAGCCTCTCGGTGCTTCAACAGATCATTATCCTCTTGGTTATAAAGAACCTATACCTCCGCCAACCTGACTGCCTGCTCTTGGCTGTAACAGTTTAGAAGCTGTAGTTGCTCTACTATGAGATACTTCAATATTTTTTTCGAGGGTTTGGATGTAGCTTTAACTTCTCTTGCAACTAAATCTTTGTCCATACATACAGTAGGTCCTCTAACATAATGATGAATCTGCAGTGTGCTTTGTGATCCAGTGAATAATTTCTTAGGCCTTCACAAATGCATTCTGAGTCTTTGCAAGCTTATCTCAAAGTCAAGATCCCCTTGCAACTGTGATGTTATTATTATTTCATATTCATAATGCATTGTTTTTCTGTCTGAGACAGATCCGCAATAGTTCTTTAAAGAGGTTTAGAGAGATTTACATCTTCATTAATAGCTCTCAAACCTCCAAAACACGTGCTGTTTCTCGTTCACAAATATTCACTCCTCAAGTTTCATTGTGCTTTGGTTTGTGAATAAAAATTGTTTCATTTTGCTACACATATTCTTCAGTCTCCTTCTTTTTTCAAACTCAATCAAAGTCAGAGAATTCAGATTTAATCCTTGATGCATTCTCTGTCGAACCTCCTATTATTCTATAAAATCTATCTGGTTACTCCAAAGGAAAATTAGTGCATTTGAGAATAAAATACTTCTAAACTTCCCATTAATCGTGTAACTTACCAAAAGCTGCTAAAGAAAGTAAAATGTTTAACAAATATAATTTTTGAAAAGCTATTTGTTATTGCTATCAAGAGATCGTGCTTTTTTATTACAAAAATGTTTGAAGAAACGTTTACATTTAATTTTTTAATAGTTGTTACTATTTTAGAGAAAATTTTTCTTATTTTTACATTATTCTAAAAATCAAAGAATGTATCTACAAAACAAAGTATCAAGAATGTCATGACTTTTGTACTGGCGAAATGGGACATGAAAAAAAGGTCGAAATGGGAGAGTTGCGACTCCTTTTTATGTTTCTGAAAATGTAAAAAGAAAAATTAGTCTTAGATGTTGTTATGGATAATTATGAAAGTGCTTAAAATAAAAACGAGCTTTTAGAGACTTTAATATCAAAAATTACAAACAACCTTTCAATAACTTGAGCATCCTATTCATAAAGTTATAAATGTTTAT